ACATACATACATACATACATACATACATACATACATACATACATACATACATACATACATACATACATACATACATACATACATACATACGTACATACGAACATACATACATAGATACATACATACATACATACATACATACATACATACATACATACATACATACATACATACATACATACATACATACATACATACATACATACATACAAACATACATACATACATACATACATACATACATACATACATACATACATACATACATACATACATACATACATACATACATACATACATACATATAAAATATGTATGTATGAGACCCGAAAATATGACTTGTTGGGCCACCATAAATTTGGCACAAAAAATTATAAATAGAAATGTTTACATTTCACAATGACATAATGATAGTTCTATAAATAAGAAAAAAAGAATAATTGAAATATTTAAATATTAAACTATCTTAAAATTGAATAAATATAAAGTATATTACGGGTAAATGCGGGAAACAATCGAATCAACAGAAGACACGGTTGAAATAATTAGACTGTTCATCATCACAATCATCATCTTCATCTTCTTCTTCATCATCACAATAACACAATCATCATCTTCCTCTTCTTCTTCATCACAACATTATAATCATCATCTTCATCTTCTTCTTCATCACAACATCACAATCACCATCTTCATCACAATCATCATCTTCATCTTCTTCATCATCATCAAAACAACAAAATCATCATCTTCATCTTCATCATCATCATCAAAACAACACATTCATCATCTTCATCATCACAACAACAACAATAGCAACAATAACGACGACAACATTAACAAGCATATACAGGCGCACTTGAATACGCATAAATTAACTTGATGTCCACCTAACCAAGAACAGCTGAAACCATTAAAAATAAGTTCCAAAATAGGTGCCAAATTTATTATTTCGAGTTTAGTTCGATGTTGCTTGAATGTTTTCAACCTAGCATACATTTTAAGGGTACCAAATTTTATTATTTTGAGCTTAGTTTAATCTTTAATTTATAATTTAACTTTATCAATATTAAAAAATTGTCACCAAACTAATTATTTTGAATTTAGTTTGATTCTGCGAAGATATTCAGGTAAAATTGTTGACTTTTAAGTTAAGAAAAGGTTCCAAAATTCTGTTCACGAATTTAGCTGAATCTTTTAAAAAATTTAATCCCACTCTTTTAATTTTTGAGATCAGACATTGCGTCAAGTAAGAGTGTAAGCATCAGGCTGAATTTATTTTGTAAAACTTTTACAGAAGAAAAAATCACCAGACTCATCACCAGACTCATCACCAGACTCATCATCAGACTCATCATCAGACTCATCATCAGACTCATCATCAGACTCAAGAACAACATCACCATCATTTTCACCATCATCACCATCAGTTATCCTCTTGGATTACGCGAATAAAGAATTAAAACACACCAGCAAGATTGGAATGCCAATTATCAACTGGTGACGACGACGATGGTTTCAATGACTATTATTGCTCTGACGATGACGCGAAACCAGAATGTAATTTTAAGATAATATTCAACTCATGCATTACACGATGACGACGATGATGACTAAGACTACGACGATGATGATAACGAGAAGATAACAACAGCAATAACAACATCTCGTTTCGTCTCCTTTCGTCCCGTTTTGTATCGTTTTGTCTCGGATTTCTTATTGTCCCAGTAAAGCTCTATATATGTAATAATCACATCAAGATCTTATTGTCCCAGTAAAGCTCTATATATGTAATAATCACATCAAGATCTCGTCATACTAGAAAATTTTTATCAATTAAACTGGCTGGAAATCTAGCCGGCTGTTTGATACTGTCCAAACTAGATTGTTCCAACTCAATGATGTTTGCCATACCCCAGAATCATGAAAGACGTCTTCAGAGGCTGATGAGGCGGGTTCATCCTTTGAAACCTGCTGAATTATCAAAATTAAAAAACCTTTACTGGTTTTCATTTCATCGCCGTGCCCAGTTAAAGATTGCCATCATTGTTTCCAAGTTGTCGTCTCGATAGTCTTTTTGGTCTGAATAAGAACAATCATCTTCTCCGCTCTGCCAAGACTAAGCCCCTTCTTCAAAATATTTCATCAACCAGCATTGAGAAACAAGCATTTCGTTAATTCCACTCTTCCTCCATGAACTCAAATCAACCTCGAGATCTCATTTTAGTTTAACGCTGCTTCTGATTAAACAACTATAATTTCAACTTTTAACTTCGTCTTAGTCGTGCTAAATTAATTACTATATACTACAACCACCACCATCACCACTACTACTACTACTTCTACTACTACTACTACTACAACTACTTCTACTGCTACTTCTACTACTACTACTACTACTACTACTACTTCTACTGCTACTACTACAACTACTACTAATACTGCTACTACTACTAGAACTTTTATTGTAAGTTATATTTCATTTTAAAGAAAATAAAATATGACCGCTTGTACGTTGCCAAGAATTCTTGAAAAGTTTTTATTAAAAATAATATTAATATAATTATATTATACACGCACACACACGCACACACACACGCACACACAAACACCATTCAATTAAAATTAGATTCAAACTCGATTTCTAACCGACCGTCATACCGACGAATATGTACCGATATCGTCAAACCGGTATGCGCCAGCGACGGGCGGAGTTATGTTAATGAGTGTCACGTGATCAATCAACCATTTGACGTCATCCATCAAAGGGGTGTCGTCTTGCGGGGATCGCCTAAGTGGGTCAAACATTTCGGACCATGTGGTCAGTATTTTATTTTTATTGACGCTATTAGTGTTGTTGTTATTATTGTTATTGTTATTATTACTGCTACTACTTTCATTATTATTATTATTACTATCATTGCTGCTGCTGTTGTAGCTGCTCCTACTACTTCAATAGTTGTAGAAGCTGCTGTTGTAGCTGCTCATACTACTTCAACAGTTGTAGAAGCTGCTGTTGTAGCTGCTCATACTACAACTTCCACTACTACAAAAAATATTCTTCTTTTTTCAGAAAAATTAAGTAAGTATAGAAAAAACAGATATTACCTAAAAAATGAGAAAAAAAATTTATAGCGCAGATAAAAAAGTATGGATAGCCGAGAAGATCATCCAGATTAATTGTTCTATTGTCGACCTTTTGTTTGGTCTTTGTTTTCGGGTCTTTGCTCTTATAAATGGATGAATTAATGTCTTAATGAATGAATGAATGAATGAATGAATGAATGAATGAATTAATTAATTAATTAATTATTGAATTAATGAATGTTTGAATTAGTAAATCATTGAATAAGTGAACGAAAGATTGAATGAATAAATTAGAAAACAAATCAAAAAACAAAATTTTGTGTTCATTCATGCGTTTGTTTGTTTAATTCTTGTCCGTTCGTTCGTTCGTTCGTTTGTTTTTCGCTCGTTTGTTTGTTGTTTACTTGTTTGTTTTTGTTTTCGTTTATTATTTTCAGACAACATAGAAATAATATTTTTTAATTATTCAGTCTGTGTGAAATTTTTTGTGATTAATGATACTCTGCGCTCGCAAACATAATACGCTTGCATGACTAACAACAACATCAACAACAACATCAACAACAACAACATCAACAACAACAACATCATCAACAACAAAACAACATCAACAACAACATCAACAACAACATCGGCCACAACTTTTCACTTTCGCCTTAACAGGCCGTGAATAAAAAATTACCAAAATAATTTTAAGCAGCAACAGCGTACAACGTCATCATCATCATCATCATCGCCCTTGTTTACGTCATCATCATCACCATCTTCTCCTCCTCCTCCTCATCATCATCACTCCCAATTATAACGCCATCATCATCATCATCACCACCGGTGACGTCATCAATGTCGCGCGGGTCCACAAAATAGGATTAGTAAAAGTGTCATAAAACCGCTGCTCCAAGTAACGATGATGATAACGATGATGGCGTAGCTGACGATGACGTCATTATTACGTCATCATGTGATGATGGTGATGATGTTTTTGTTGCTGTTGATGACGACGATTGTGTGGGTGGTGGCGTGGCTCCTATTTTTTATCTTCAGACTAATAAGGCATGATGAATGGTTTTCTTAATGACAACAATGCGAAAACATTGCTATCATTATCATCATCACCGACATCGTCATCATCATCATCAATAGCAACTGTATCACCATCATCATCGTCTTTATCATCATGGTCATCGTAAGAGTATTTTTTCAAAATTTTCACAAAAAATTGTTGTTTGTCCCTTCAAATTTGCTGTTATCACAACTCTCTCCCTCTTTTGTTCCCGCTCTCTTTTACAATCTCACTCTCTCCCTCTTTCTCTCTCTCTCTCTCTCGCTTTTTCACTCGTTTCAAGCCTAAGCATTCCATCCATTCATTTTTGGTTTGAATATCAGTCACCACGATACAAATATTTTTCATTCTTTCCTTCATTTCTTCCTTTATTCAGGAACTCCTTCATTTTTTCATTCATGAATTTATGAATTCATGAATTTATGAATTCATGAATTTATGAATTCATGAATTTATGAATTCATGAATTTCTTCATTTCTTCATTCATTCATTCATTCGTTCGTTCAATCCTATCGCTTCATCATTCTTTCATTAATGATTTTTGACAGCCGCACATATGAAACATTTAGAACGAAAAAACAACAACAACAACAACAACAATAATAATAATAATAATAATAACAATAATGAAAGTCATTTCCGCCACTTATTTATAATCTTTTTTTCTATTTCCTCTATTTTCTTTCAGTGTATTTTCTTCGATGGATTTTAATTCTTTTTTGAAAAGTAACTGTGGTCATCATCGCCATCATCGTCCCCATCACCACAGATCCGTCATCTCCGTGCAGCAGCAGCAGCAGCAGCAGCAGCAATACTACAGCGACACAGACGCCAACGACGACGACGACGATGGTGGTCTGCAGGTTCGGAGCTGTTTGTGACTCAACTGATGTCAGACCACAGTGCACATGCTGGCACAACTGTTCCTATCACTTCCAACCCGTTGGTCTTGATAATGATGATGATGATGACGACGAGGATGATGATGATGATCATTCATTCATTCATTCATTTATTCATTCTTTCTTTCATTTATTCATTCTTTGTTTCTTTCATTCATTCTTTCTTGCATTCGTTCATTTCTTCGTTCGACTTGTTCGTACCATTATTTCAACAATCTTGGTTTTCATGATAATGATTCTGAAGAAACTGATGATGATAGTGATGATGGTGATGATTGCTGTGATGATGATGGTGATGATTTTGGTGATGGTTATGATGATGGTAGTCTTAGAATTTGCCCATGTATGCAATAAAGATAGCTTGTTTATTCTGGGAACCGCTTAAAAAGTTTTTTCTTCAATGAAGTGGTTGCTCGTTCTTTGCGTTCATTCATTCATTCGTTCGTTCGTTTATTCATTCATTCATTTAGTCATTTATTCATTTTTTCATTCATTCATTCATTCATTCTCTCATTCATTCATTCATTCATTCATTCATTCATTCATTCATTCATTCATTCATTCATTCATTCATTCATTCATTCATTCATTCATTCATTCATTCATTCATTCATTCATTCATTCTCTCATACATTCAAACACACATACACACACACATACAGGCACACACGCGCGCGCGCAAACACACACACACGTGCGCACGCACACACACACACATTCATATTTTCATTCATTTATTCATATTCTCATTTATTCATTCTTTTTTACACAATCTCTCTCTCACAACTGCCATAAAATCAACACGGCAAAAAACACGTCGTTATTTATTATGCACCTGGAGATGAGTGGTGATGATGACGATGGTGATGATGATGATGATGATGATGGTGATGACGATGATGATGATGATGGTGATAATGATGATGATGGTGATAATGATGATGATGGTGATGGTGATAATGATGATGATGGTGATGGTGATGATGATGATGATGGTGATGATGATGATGATGATGATGATGATGATGATGATGAGGATGGTGATAATGATGATGATAATGATGATGATGATGATGATGATGATGATGATGATGATGATGATGATGAGGATGGTGATAATGATGATGATGTTGCGTCATCATCATCATCATCAACAACAGTGACAATGACGTCATCATAAACGTCACCATCGCCCATATTGCATGTGAAAAAAGCAACGGATTAATTAAGACATTAATAATGAGTTACAATAAAAACAGTAATAATGACAATCATCATCATCTTCTTCTTCTTCTTCTTCTTCTTTTTCTTCTTCTTCTTCTTCTTCTTCTTCTACACACACATACACACACACACATACACACACACACACACACACACACACACACAGGTTTGTGGTGACGACCTTAAAACGTACATGAACGAATGTCATTTGAAGTTGCAATCCTGTTGGAAGAATAGTGAGATAAAAATTAAAGCTAACACAGCTTGCGGTAAGATGATGATGATTCGTTTATTCATTCATTTGTTCGTTCGTTCGTTTGTTAGTTTTTTCGTTCGTTCGTTCGTTCATTCATTCATTCATTCATTCATTCATTCATTCATTCATTCATTCATTCATTCATTCATTCATTCATTCATTCATTCATTCATTCATTCATTCATTCGTTCATTCATTCATTCATTCATTCATCAATCAATCAATCAATCAATCAATCCATCCATTACCGCCGTTTTAAAGCATGAATAAATATTTTGTTTTTCTAAAAGAAAAAAAAATGAAACAATTTGTCATTCATTTTGCTGGAAATTTTATTGAAAATTTGTGTCATTGCATCTGTTCAGCCGTTCTTTTGTTCATTCGTCCGTTCATTCACTCGTTCATTCATTCAATCATTCATTCGTTCATTCACTCGTTCATTCGTTCTTTCATTCATCCATCAGATAGTTGTTGGATAAAGAAATGTCCTCACTATGGTGTCTGCATTAGTTTGAATGGTCGCCATGTAACAAAATGCATTTGCCCAACCGCTTGTGTTCAAGTTGGGATTTCAATCAATCGATCAATCATTCATTAATTCAATCATTCATTCATTCATGAATGAATGAATGAATGAATGAATTTTTCAACCAATCAGCATAGGATTCACTCACTTACTCCCTCACTCACTCATTCACTCCATTTCAATCAGCCAATCAATCATTCAACTCTCCAATCAGATAAAGAATGAAGTCTGCGGTTCGGACCATGTAACCTACTTGAATGAATGCGAATTAAAAGTATAGCCGTCATCATCATCATCATCGTCGTCATCGTCGTCATCATCATCATCATCATCACCATCATCATCATCATCATCGTCGTCATCATCATAATCTTCACCATCATCATCATCATCATCATCATCATCATCATCATCATCATCATCATCATCACCATCATCATCATCATCATCATCATCATCATCATCATCATCATCATCATCATCATCATCATCATCATCATCATCATCATCATCATCATCATCATCAACATCATCATCATCATAATCTTCACCATCATCATCATCATCAACAGCATCATCATCATCATCATCATCATCACTTCTTCTTCATATTATTATTATGTTTCTTATAATAATAATAATAATAATAATAATAATAATAATAATAATAATTATTATTATTTTTATTATTTTTATTGTAAGGTCTCAGCTTGTCTCATGAAAAATGAAGTGTACGTTCAGCATTATGGACGCTGCGAATCGCCCATCATCGGTTAATAATAATAATAATAATAATAATAATAATAATAATAATATAAATAGTGTTTTTATTATTATTTTTTTATTTTTATTTGAGGGTGTTGAGCGACACGCCTGACAGTTTTCCGCTTAGATGTTGATAAAAAAATTTGTTGTTGTTGTTGTTGTCGTTGTTGAGGTTGGTGATGATGATGATGATGTTGTGGCTGCTGGTGATGATAATGATGATGTCTTTGTTGGTGGTGATGATGATGATGATGATGATGACTATGATGATGTTGTAGATTCGTGGTTGTGATGATGATGAGAAGTTTTTTAGGAATAATTTTCTCGTTAACTAGAATCCAAACATGCCAGCAGCAACAACATCAGCAGCAGCAACAACATCAACAACAACAACAACAACAACATCATCAACAACAGCAACAACAACATCAAC